CGTACCATCCTACGGAGACGTGGGAACAACTGGTGACCTAGACCGTGGTGCCAGAGGACCGACGGGTGGGTGAGGGACCGACAATCGCACGACACAGCAACTACCTGACCTGACCTGACCCTGTGTGGTGGGACCCAGCGTGTAGTGAGTACAGACCAGAGCCTGGCTCCCTGTGGAAAGTGGCCAGAAGCGCCCCGGTGGCACCGACTGTGGAGGAGGCAACAGGCTCGTCCAGTGGGAAAGTAGTGACTACACCTAGGTCGTGGAGGTGATTGACACCCACCAGGTTCCTCGTGAAGGAGGGGGTGTAGTAAGTTGTGAGGAACCCAGAAGGAGCCGCCGAACACGGGAGAGTGGTGGTGCTGTGGGAAACTACATGTCCCACGGAGGGGTCAGTACAGACGACAGTGACTGGAGTGCGCAGTGGCGTGAGGTCGGTACAGTCGCGAAAGAAACAACTGGACGCTCCAGAGTCTAGGGTGAAGGAAAGCTGTGCAGGTTGTGAGGTCGCACCCGAGCCAGCGACAAAGGCTGGTGCTAGACTAGTGGTAGCTGGAGCTCCTATACAAAGACCCTTAGAGGCGCCTGGACTAAAAACTACACACGCACCAAGACTGGAAACACGGGTCTCTACTCGTGCAGAGGGAAAAGGTCCTAGACCAGGTAGGTGAGACTCAACTGGTGAAGTAGTGCGCTGGTGAAGACGCGAGGGCCAGTGCGGTATAATAGCGTGAGGACCAAAACGCTCACGGTGGAGGTTGTCGAGGCGACGGTAGCGATGGGATGCAGAGTGGTCAGGACTCCAGCAGGTGATGTCAGCACCCGGGCCAGTCAGGATTCGGTGCCCGCAGGGACCGACGTCGCGCCCACTACTAGTCAAGCCGCTGCTGCGGCCGGTACTCCTAGGACCCTCAGGTCCCCACTGCCGGGAGTGCTGTAGCTGCTGTCGCTGCGGCTGACCCTGCTGCTGCTGCTGCAGAACTCTTGCACACGCCATGGTAGGTGCTAGAGACGGCTGAGCGCGGTGGGGAGCGGCTAGGAGCGGTTGCTGGCTACAGCGTATGCTACTACTGGTTCTGTTGGGGGCAGCCTATGCTGCTGCTGGTGCTGCTGGGGGCAGCCAATGCTGCTGCTGGTTCTCCTGGGGGCAGCCTATGCTGCTGCTGGTTCTGGTGAGGGGCAGCCTATGCCGCTGCTGGTTCTGTTGGGGGCAGCCTATGCTGCTGCTGGTTCTGCTGGGGGCAGCCTATACTGCTGCTGGTTCTGGCGGCAGCCTAAGCTGCTACTGGTTCTGGTGGCAGCCTAAGCTGCTGCTGGTTCTGGCGGCAGCCTAAGCTGCTACTGGTTCTGGCAGGTCTAGAGCGGTAGGGAGTGGTTATGGGCAGTTCTGGGCGGTTCTGGGCGGTTTTGGACGGTTCTGGCCGGTTGTGGAGGGGGACCTGGGCGGTCCTGGGCGGTTCTGGGCGGTTCTGGGAGGTTCTAGGCGGTTCTGGGCGGTTCTAGGCGGTTCTGGGCGGTTTTGGGCGGTTTTGGACGGTTCTGGAAGGTTCTGGTCGGTTTCGGGGGGGGTCCTGGGCGGTCCTGGGCGGTTCTGGGAGGTTATGGGCGGTTATGGGCGGTTATGGCCGGTTTTGGGCAGTTCTGGGAGGTTCTGGGCGGTTATGGGCGGCGGGTACAGGGTGAGGCGACGGGTACAGGGTGGGACGGCGGTTACAGGACGGGAATGCAGCGGGAAAACGGTGGGGAGGGAAGGGGGGAGGCGACGGGATGAGGACGTGGAGGCGACGGGGAGGGGACGGGCTGGCGACGGGGAGGCGACGGGAAGGGGACAGGAGGTGACAGGAGGCGACGGGAAAGGGGACAGGAGGCGACGGGAAAGGGGACGGGAGGCGACGGGAAATGTGACGGGGAGGCGACGTGGCGGGCCGCGGGGGGGCTTTCTAGCACGCGCGCATGCAGCCTTAGCGTGCGTGTACGCGTACGCGCCTAGGTCGCGACGACAGGGGGGAGGGAAGGGGGACCCGCGAGGGTCTTTTTAGCTCGATTTCACGGGCCCACGGGGGCCTTACTAGGTCGTGACGCGTTCGGGCAGCGGGATCCTAAAGACAAGGCGTGAAAATCAACGGGGCGCTGCGGGTAACAGGTGTTAACGGGCGAAAACGGGGCGGTGGGCCCATAGGAACTAACTAGCTCTATACCATGTTAAAGTCCTAACGTGAGAATGAATTGACAAAGGAAAGTGAGAAACAAGCAAGATATAGCAAGCGTAACCCTAACCCTAGGAAAACGTAAAGTACACCTAGACTAACACAAATGAGCTATAACAAATATAGCTTGACACTGCGCTGCCATTATGTTGCTTGTTCATTACTTTTTGCTAATGAAACTCTTGCTGATTTACCCCGTAAACCTACACATGAGCAAGTGCTAGGGAGAAAGTTACAGTCGGCACATGCTCTAACATGGAGAAAGCCAAGTTTCACTTCATCCTGTTCTTCCTCGCCGACGTGCTGGAGCTGCTCAACGGCCTCAACATGGCGCTTCAGAAACTAGTGGTAAGTTTGCATAATGGCCTATATTTATAAATCGTTCCAACAGCTCTTTACTAATGTCCCTTTTTTTTCTCTTGAGCAGGAGGACATCGACGAGGTGAAGCTCCTTGTCGACAAGCTCAACTCAAGCTCAATTCGGCGCAACGCTATGTGGAAAATTGCACAGCCTGTGGGACTCTTAAGAACAAGAACCTGCACGTTTTTTCTCGAGAAGCACGCCATCCGTGATGAGCGCGACATCATCATCCACGGCCTTGACCACCAAGGAAACTCGTGCACCGTCAGCGATGTGCTACATGAAGACCCCATTGGATCAGGCATGGGGACAGACCTGAAGTCGTGCTTCCAGCTAGGGCAGCAGTTTGCACAGGAGTTGATCACAAAGCTGGACTTCCGGCTGGGCGATCTGAGGCACTTTGACGGGGCAAAACTCTTCATGCCAATGCACTACTCGCCGCGGGTTGGTGACCATAAAGGCTTCCTCAATGCCACACGCACCAACTCTTTGACATGTTCAAGGAGAAGCCCTCTGGTACGCAGATATGTACCTAAACCTGTATATTTTCTACACCAGGCAGTGTAATTGTCATAGGTGCCTCATTGTTTCACCTCTTCTTCTCCTCTGCCCACCCCACCACCCACAGATGTCACGTACAAAGAGTGTTAGCTGGAGATAGATCTTTTCGATTCAACACTGACTTTCAAGTAGGCCCTCACTAACGTGCTTTGTACCTTAGACTGGAGGGATGACTACCTCACCCTCGCGCACTTATGGCATGCACTTGCTGTCCTGCCCCTTAGCATTGTTGAGTGCGCAAGGGGCTTCAGTAGTGATGTTCAGTAGGCCCCGTATACAATAATGAGACATGACTTCTCTTAGGGTACATTCCTGTGGAGACACTTGCGTCTCAATCCCCTTTTTCCCGAGTCGCGTCTAAACATTTTTTCAATCCCGCGTCACAAAAATTGAATGTATCACGAAAATCGGCGACCAGGCGAAATTTACAGTTGTGCGCATTTGATTGGATTTCAAACATGACTGTACACATGTTTCTTCAAACGCCTGGCTCGGGTGGGGTTTTGACGAGCGGAATTTTTTCCCGCGCGAGATAGGCATTGTGGGGCGTCCAGGTGCATTGACATTTCGAACCGCGTACGACCCCTTGTCAGTGACGGGACAATATGCAACTCGTCCGCGACGTCAGCGCGTTTCACACTGACCAATGAAAAATACAGTAATGATCGCACAAGGGCGACACGCGTTTGTGACATTGTACGTTTTATGCTGTTTTTACGCGTCACAAATGGATTGAGACACAAGTGTCTCCACAGGAATGTACCCTTAGTGATGTTAAGCTAGATCAGCTGATGACTGCGAAAATTCTAGACTATCCTGTAGAGTGGGCAGAAGTGCTCAAGATCTTCAATGCTGCTAAGGATAGGAAGCCTGCTTAGCGTGTTTAGTGAAATGACCCTAACATTTAAGAAAAGAATAGTGTTTTGCTTGTTGTAGTATTTGCAGAGTGTAGCAGTAACCTTTGTAGTTTGAAATGAGCGTACAGATTTTTCCGCGCCAAACCTGATCTAAAGGGCGAACAAATTTCCAGGCCTGAAGCCTCAAGGGCCGAGATTCGCCCCGAACCTGCTACTTACAGGTTCGTACATTCCGGGCCTCCGGTTTTGTTCGGGTGCCCCAAAACCAAAGACAGGCCTGGTTCGGGGCGTCAGCCGTTTCCCGCCCTCGACAAGCTTGCATGCTCGGTTCCGGGCGGTTTAGTGTAGCAGGTGTGGAGGTAGCCTGGACGTTCTGCTAGCGCTACCAAGGCGGCTACCAAGCACAGAAGGAAGCTATGCTACCGAACCGAATTTGTTAAAAAAGTGTTTGGACGCGGTTCTTCCTGCTACAATATATATTCGCATCGTTGCAGTACGGTGACGATTCAATCACCGCAACCTAGCTGTTGTGCAATCAGCAACCCTGGCTGCCTCGCCATGCCACCCGCCCCTCCAAAACCCATGGATGTTAGTGGCACACCAGCCCAACACTCTGGGTGACATATCATCGTGTGACGGGAACTTGATGACTGACTGGCTGGCTAACTAAGGGACTGACTGGCTAGGTAACTAAGGGACTGACCGGCTAGGTGACTAAGGGACTGACTGGCAACATGAAATACCTTTGATCCTAATGGCGTTCTTACCTGCTCCCAGCGAGCGTCGATGCTAATACCTTCTCCTCGAGTAGCAGCTGTGACCTTGACGCGTCGTCAGTCATCCCTTCACCCTCTTCCGACCAGGATTCTTTTCGAAATGATGAAATGAGAGGCGGTTCGTGCCGCGAATGCCGTCATTGTTGCTCCGAGACGTCCGACGCCTCTTCCAGAGCGCAGCCTATCGGAGAACGTAGTCTATTTGGAGAAAATATTTCCTGAGAACGTGTCAAAACAGATGAATGACTGCCGCATCTCTCGCTGCAGATTGCGGGTTAAACCAGGGGCCACGTGTCGTCTCCGTGTCGCAAAATTTATACGAATTACGTTTCTCATCTATTTCGTAGCCTTCGTCCGTTTCGCTGACGGCCTCGTCGACTGCCATAACCTAACCAATCCAAGTAAGAGGCTCCGCTTCTCCTGTTCCTGGTATCACCGTCATTTACTGTTTCGTCGCTATACGAGTCGAGTCGTGAGCACACCTGTAGTGTCGGGTCTCTATCTAGTCAACATTCGTCCCTCTCCAGGGGAATATAGGTTTCCCCAGTTGACTCGTTCCTTGCCCCATTTTGTTGGTTCATGCTCTATGTGCTGCCTCTCCCATCTTAACCCCTCTTCCTTAGCCGTCACAGGTGAATCGTCAAACCTCCTCTCGAACCCAAGCTTCGATACAAGCTGTCTCGATACAGGATGGCGTCGCAAGAAGCTGAACGCCACGTGCGATCCATGGGCGTCCTTATTTCCGTGGCGCGCGTTAGAGCCTGGGGAAGCATTCTTAAGCGACGAGGTCTTAGCCACCGCATCTGGCGGCGCCGGAAACCGCGGAACGACTTTTGTGTCGACTCAAAAGGCATCTGGCGGCGGCGGAAATCGCGGAAATCGCGGAAACCGCGGAAACCGCAGACCATTTCTTGCACGAGCGGGTGCGACACTGGCGGAAGCGGTCGCGACAGCAAGAGGGGCGGCGTCGCCTGCTGACGTGTCAATAGCGAACGGGGTCACGGGAGTCGCGGACACCCTACTGGCAGCTGATGGGTCCCGCTTTTTACGGCTGACTTCCGCTTTTCCCGCGCCGTCTAGTGGCGACAACGCTACTGGTAGCAGCAATGGTAGTCAAAATAGCAGTAGCGGCGCGTTTGGCGGCCCAGGCGTGGCGCAAGCGCTGTGCGAACTCAAACCCGCGGCACCGACCAGCAATGACTCGCAGCAGGCGCAGCAGCAGCAGTCCCCGCGCCAGCTGTCCCTCTCGTTCTTTGCGCGCGCCAGCCTGTGCGCGGAGGGGGGAGGGGGCGCGGAAGGGGAGGCGGAGCGGCTGCTGAAGGTGGTGCTGCTCGCAGTTCCGCTGAATGCTTCCGCCGCCGCCGCGGTAGGGGGAGGGGCAGGGGAAGGAGGAGCGGGGGAGCAGGTGTGGGGGGAGTGGCGGGTGGGTGTGCCGTGTGGGGGGAGCAGCGCGAGTTTGTCCGGCGCCTTGCCTTGGTTCCAAGTGGGACCCCTCCTCTTCCCCCTCCCTGATTCCCCAAATTCCTCCTCCTCTTCTTCCTCTGCCTCTTCCCCTTCCTCATTGGTAGTGCCTCCCGGGGGAGTGGCGCTGCATTTGGTGATTCGAGGCGTGCAAGGCAGCAGTAGCAGCAGCAGCAGCAGCAGCAGCAGCAGCAGCAGCAGCAGCAGCAGCAGCAGCAGCAGCAGCAGCAGCAGCAGCAGCAGCAGCAGCAGCAGCAGCAGCAGCAGCAGCAGCAGCAGCAGCAGCAGCAGCAGCAGCAGCAGCAGCAGCAGCAGCAGCAGCAGCAGCAGCAGCAGCAGCAGCAGCAGCAGCAGCAGCAGCAGCAGCAGCAGCAGCAGCACTGCCACCGTCGCCACCTCCAACCGTACTGCCGACGCCACTAGCAGCGTATTTGCCAGCAGCAGCAGTGACAGTGGTTGCATCGGCGCCAGTGGCACCAGCACAACCAGCAGCAGCAGCAACGGCAACGGCGGCGGTGGCGGCGGCGGCAGCAGCAGCAGCAGCGCCGTTGTTGACAGCAGGGGGGGCAGCACTGCATCCGCCCTGGAAAGGCTTCTCCGCTTCCCCACACTACCCCTCCCCATACTCAGACGGGTCTGGGGACCACGACGGTTCCGGAGCTCTGGGCTGAAGAGAGCAGCAGGAGCAGGGGCAGCAGCAGCAGCAGTAGTAGCAGCAGCGGCAGCAGCAGTGCCAGCAGCAGCGCCCGCAGTGCAAGCTGCTGGTGCGGAGACTGTATCTCACACTGCGGCAGCGGCAGCAGCAGCGGAGGGTGTGGGGGAATCACCGGTTGCAGCAGCGCGGACAGTGCAAGCAGCTGGTGGGGTAACCCACACTGCGGCAGCGGCAGGGGAGGGTGTGGGAGCAAGGCCAGGAGCAGCCGAATTCACTGTTGCTGCGAGTACGGGAGGGGGAGCAGGAGCGGGAGCGAAGGTGGGGGTGAAGAGAGAGGGAGTGGCTTTGGAAGCGGGGACCACTGCTATCGACCTTGTGTCTGTCATGCCCACTCGCAGTGAGTGAGAGAGGGACAGGTGGATGCAGGGCGGGCGAGGTGGGGAGGGATAGAGCCCCAGGTGAGTGAGAGGGGGGGGTAGGTGCGGACAGGCGGTTGGCGAGACAGTGCGGACGGGCGGTTGGCCCAGTTGAGTGAGTGGGTGTGGCGTTGGAAGTGGGGCGGGGAGCACTGCTATCGACCTTGCGTCTATCACGCCCGCTCGCAGTGAGTCAGAAAGTCAGAAATGGTTGACAGGGTAACTGGTGTGTCACAGGCATGATGGTATAATGCATGCGTTGCGCTGCGCATTGACAGCGTTTGTTGCACACATGCTGCTCAACGTCCAAGTTTCAACCTCCGACTCATGTGCTCTGTTCATCGATTCCTCATTTCACGTCTGCGCCCACTCTTCCTCCCCCTTCCACTCCCCATCACTGCCACCGCCCTGCAGCCGACCCCTCCCCTCTCAAGTCTTTCTTCCACTCCCTCCCGCCCTCCCCTCCCCTCGTTTCCCCCCCCACGCCATCCCCACTTCCCTGCCCTGCAGCCGACCCCTCCCCTCTCAAGTCCTTCTCCCACTGGCCGCTCTCCAGCTCCCACCCGCTCCTCACAGCCGGCTCAACCCGTCGCAACCGCTCCTCCCTCTCCCTCACCACCCTCTCCGACCGCCACGCTGCCGCCCTCGCGCTGCACCCCGCCCCCTTCGCCCTGCTCGCCCCTGCCACGCCCTCCTCCCCCTGCCGCCCCTTCTCCTTCTCCACCTCCTTCACCTTCCGCATCTCCTCCCCCAACGCCGCCGGGCTGGGCGGCGAGGGCTTGGCGTTTGTGATGCTGCCATCTCCTACCCTTGGCTTGCCGGGGCCCTCCCTGGGGTACGGCAGCCTGCTGCTGCCCCCGGGGAGCACGACCGGTGCTGATGACTCACAGGTACGCGCATCTCATCAGCACCAGCAGTGTTCCATTTCAGGTACGTGTCATCTCAGGTACATGTCATCTCAGGTACATCTCATCTCAGGTACATCTCATCTCAGGTACGTGTCACCTCAGGTACGTGTCATCTCAGGTAAGTGTCATCTCAGGTACGTGTCATCTCAGGTACGTGTCATCTCAGGTACAGTTCCTTTGCGTTCCGCATCCGCACACCCAATGGGGCGGGGCGGGGATAGGCAGTAATGGGATGGCGTTTGTTGTGGTTTTGCTGTTCGTCTTTCCGCTTCGTCTTCCCTGTTCATTGTCTGCTGGTCTTACTCTTCCTGCCTTGCTCTCCTGCTCTCATTCTCTCCTTCTCTGCTGCTCTTCTGCCCACTCCCCTGCTCCCCCTCCTGCTCCCCCCACACACACCCCCAGCAGCACAGGAGCCTGGCAGTGGAATTCGACACATCCTCTTCTCCTGATTTTTTCGACCGCCCCGACCACCACGTGGGGGTGAACCTGCACGGCAGCATGCTCTCTCTCGCCTCTGCCCCCGTGCACCCCCTCGGCATTCCCTCCCTCAACGCCGGCCAGACCCTCCTCGCCACCATCCAGTACAACGCCTCCTCCTCCCACCTCACCGTCTGGCTCTCCCCTGCCCCCTCCTCCTCCCCTCCCCCCCCCACCCCTCGCTCCTCCTGTCGCTTTCCTTGCTTCCCTGGTTTCCCCCGGTTCTCTCGCTCTCCCTCCCCCTCCTCCTCCTTTCGTTCCTCTTCCTCCTCCTCCCCCTCCGCCCCCCCTCTCCCGCGCTCGGCCGTGCTGACCACATTCGTGGACACCTGCGAGTGGCTGGGGGGGAACGACCCGGAGGCAGCAGCGCCCCCCCCGCCGCTGTTTGTGGGATTCACAGCGGCCACGGGCAAGGGGGCGGAGCAGGCTCAGGCGCACGAGGTGCTGGGGTGGACTTTCCAAGTGGGGGAGGGTGAGTTGTTTGGAGGTGACCTTAAGAGGTGCTGGGGTGGCAGTTTGAAACAGGGGAGGGTGAGTTGTTGGGGTGACCTTAAGAGGTGCTGGGGTGGCAGTTTGAAACAGGGGAGGGTGAGTTGTTGGGGTGACCTTAAGAGGTGCTGGGGTGGCAGTTTGAAACAGGGGAGGGTGAGTTGTTGGGGTGACCTTAAGAGGTGCTGGGGTGGACGTTCCAAGTGGGCGAGGGTGAGTGGAGTCTCTTTCACCTGCTACTCACACCGCCCAATCACATAATCACAATAAGTTTTTGAGGCTCCTAGTTTTTTATGCGCCTCAAATTTTGAGGCGACTTTTGAGGCGCCTCGAATGCACTGTTTCTCAAGATCTCGTCGGTTCTGTATCACAGTATATTCAAGGCGGCTCAGAAATTGCTTGTGGCGAACCGACCGCAGTATTTCCCTTCCATCCCCTCGGTTCCTTCACCATAACACTTCCAGTGTTCACCTTCCAGTGTTGTGTTCCTTGGTATGACGGGGAGGCGTGAAGCTGATGGAGTTGCAGGGTGTTTATGAGAATTCTCAAAAACACCCTCCTTCACCATCACACTTCCAGTGTTCACCTTCCAAAGTTTCTTGGTATGAAGAGGAGGCATGAAGCTCATGGAACCTGCCTTCCATGGCCCCACAGTCCACACCCTACCTAGGAGTACAGCTCCTTGACGTGATTTCCCCCGAACCCCCCACACCCCTCACCTTTTTCACCCCCCGTCTCCCACCCACCCCACCCTCCCCATCCCCCCCTTCCCTCTGTATCACACCAACCCCAGCAGCGGAGGATCCGCTTCCGTTTTGGGCGGCAGACTCGTTCTCCTTCCCCTACATCACGCCAGCCACTCCCCTGCTGACACGTGGCAGCACACGGAAGCGTTTCTTCGCTGCCGATCTCTCCGTCGCTGCTGACGTGGCATCATCCACCGGCCAATCAGACGATCCCGCCCCTGGAGCCCTCTTTTTCCCTCGCCGTCTCCCCCTCCTCTACTCCTCCTCCTCCCCTCCCTTCCCTCCTCCTCCCTTTGCTCGTCCTCGCAGCTCCCCCCGTTCCTCTCCTTCCTCCTCCCCACCTTCCCAACCTACAGCCACCGAGCCTCCTGTCTGCAAGGCTCGCTCCTTCACCTTCACATACGGCTTTTCCATGAATACATCCGCTTCCCATGGGCTCGCGTTCGTTATAGGCACACACGCGACCGTAGGTCAAGGTGGGGCTTATATGGGGTACGGCCGGGACCCATCCTCGCGACTCGCTAATGGCAGCTGGCCGGACGGCGCGCGGAGTGTAGCTGTGGAATGGGACACTGTAGCAAACCCAGAAATGGGCGATGTAAATAGTATACATGTTGGCGTTAACACTGATTTTAACATGACCTCGATTTTCGCAAAGAAAGTGGTTTATCCGATGGAGCCGGATGACGTGTGGCAGATGAGGGTTGACTATAACGGGAGCAGCAAGGAGATGCTGATTAGGTGGTACAAACCCCCTGTTGTGAAGGGCAGCATGAGGCTCAGCTTTGACCTGTGTGCTGCACTGACCGATGTGACAGAGACCAGTCAAAGCAGCAGTGGCAGCGGCAGTGGCAGCAGCAGCAGTGTGACGGACCTATCGTCGCCATCCTTTGGGCAGCTGGTCGTTGGGTTCACCAGCGCTGCTCTCCCTCCCCCCCCTGGCCGCCTGCCTTCCCCCGTTGCCCTCTCCTCCTGGACCTTCCGATTCACAGGTAGGAGGGGGGGGGGGTGAGGGGGAAGAGTGGGAGTGGGAAGAGTGGGAGGGGGAAGGCATAGCAAGCCACGAGCCCTGCCCCCGTCGCCCTCTCCTCCTGGACTTTCTGACTTTTGAGACGTCTCAAAAGTCGTCGCTTTCCTTTCCCCTCCGGACTTTCTGATTCACAAGTGGGGGGAGAGGGAGGAGAGGAGTGAGAAGGACGAGGAGAAGGTGAGGTGAGGAGTGAGAAAGAGGGAGCGAGGGTGTAGCAAGTGCTAAATCTTATTATTTATGGTAAAACAGTTGGGAGGGGGAGAGTGGAGAGAGAGGAGGTGGGAGCGGAAAGGGGAGAGTAAAGAGGAAGATATGTATATAATATATACATTTGTATATTCCAGCCCCCGCTTTATCCCCTCGCTTCTCACTTTATCCCTCGCTTCTCGCTTTATCCCCTCGCTTCTCACTTTATTCCCTCGCTTCTCACTTTATCCCCTCGCTTCTCACTTTATTCCCTCGCTTCCCCGCACACCCGTCCCCACCCCCCTGGGCAGACACTGACTTCTGCAACCACTCTCCCGTGCTCCCCTGTGGCATGGGCACATGCTCTAAGGCGCCTTCCTGGTGGGACGCCTCTGTCTTGCTGCCCTCCTGCAAGTGCGCCTTGAAGCTCCCCTCCTTCGAGCCCACTCACCTCACTGGCCTGCCCTCCTGCTTCCCTGGTCAGTCCTGCCATGTGAAACTGAAGGGTTTGTTATTTTTTCGTATTGTTTTGTTTTCTGTATTGTTTTGTTCTTTGTATTGTTTTGTTCTTTGTATTGTTTTGTTCTTTGTATTGTTTTGTTCTTTGTATTGTTTTGTTCTTTGTATTGTTTTGTTCTTTGTATTGTTTTGTTCTTTGTATTGTTTTGTTCGTTGTATTGTTTTGTTCTTTGTATTGTTTTGTTCTTTGTATTGTGCTTCCTTTGCCTTCCTGGAATGTCAGCCCTTTGTTCCCATCATGTCTGCTCCGCTCCTACATCCCCCACTGCCGAGGTGGACGAGACTTACCCAATCCCCTTCCATTGTATCCCCCCAACCCACTCCCCCCTCCCCCGCTCTCTTCCTCTTCCCCCTCCCTCTTGCTCTTTCCTCCCCCTCCTCCCCCATCCTCTCTTTTATACTCTCCATCTCCCCACCCCGCCTTCCCCCCTTTTACTCACCAGAGGCCTTCACGTGTCCCCAGCTCTCCAGCAACCCATGCGCCCCGGGGTGTGCATCGACAGTGTGCCGATGTGCTGCTCACTCACTCACTCCTCTCTCCCGTCTCTGCCTCCCCCCCCCCCTCCCATTCTCTTTCCCCTCCCCCCATCCCATGTCCCCTCACCAGAGGCCTACACGTGTCGCCAGCTCTCCAGCAACCCATGCGCCCCAGGGGTGTGTATAGATGGTGTGGATGGCACCTACTCCTGCCTCTGCCCCTCGCCCTACTTCCCCTTCGCCTTTTCTCCCAAGGGCACTGCCAGTTGCTCCCTGGGTAAGTAACATACTTAAGGTTGTTTTCTTGCTTACAGCCTTAGCTTATTAGCTGAGGGGGGGAAGAAGTGGGGGGGAAGAGTACTGAAATGTGGTTTCATTGGTAGTAGGAGAATACATGACAGGTTCAATTCAGCTGATGCGAACTGGCTAAGCAGATCAACAAAGTCAGGGGTTTGGAAAGAGACGTTGGGAAAGGGACGTTGGGAAAGGGACGTTGGGAAAGGGACGTTTGGAAAGGGATGGGAAACACTGCTAAGTTGAAAGGCATGGCATGTGAGGCTGACACATTTTGCAACGCAACCCATGTAGCCCCTCACACACATCTTTGAGGTGCCTCAAAAATCGCCTAAGTTGAAGGGCATGGCATGTGGGGCTGACACCTTTTGCACCGCAACCCGTGTAGCCGCCCTCACACATCCTCCCGTCACGCCAGTTGCTTAGAAAGGTGTTTTCTGCCCGGATGCCACGGGCAGGCTCCGTTCTGGGCCTAAACGCAAAAACCCTAATCTTGCACAAACTATGTGAGCATAGGAGGGTGAGAAGGACGGACTGACTACCTCTGACCAACTTCTGTAACACTTTATTTGCTTTTAATGTTCTTCCCCCCCTTTCCCTCCCCCTTCCCCCCCCCACCCCACCCTTTCCCGAACATGTCTACAGTGCAAGCGGGTGGCACTCGAATGCCAACCTTCCTGTCCCAGTTTGGTCTCACATGCCCCCTAATACTTAACACTTTCGGTTTGACACAGACCCAGTTTTTTAGTGAAAACAAGGTGAGGAAGGCGATCTCACATTGCATATCACATATAACATATCGCATCACAACACATCACGGCACAGCATGGGACAGCACGGCACAGCGCCGTTTTTACGGTACCGTTTTTTATGGTAAAATTCCAAAAATGCGTTCTTTTTTTTTTACCCTGCTCTCAACTGCCCATGCTCTGATACCATGCTCTGATACCAGGGCTTCCAATGTCGAGCTCCCATTCTTGCCGACACCCTGGTCAACGTCACCAGCCGTGCTTTTTCCAAATGTACAGCAATGTACACTGTTAACTATGTAAGTGGCATTGCAATCACAGAAATGTACAGCAATGTACACTGTTAACTATGTAAGTGGCATTGCAATCACAGAAATGTACAGCAATTTACACTGTTAATTATGTAAGTGGCATTGTAATCACAGAAATGTACAGCAATGTACTGTTAATTATGTAAGTGGCATTTCTTAATGTAACTGGCATCAGATTTTGTAAGCGGCATTATCTGAAGGTGGCATTGTGTTATGTAAGTGGAATTGCAACTAGGCTAACCACCGGTATGGATCAATCCGGCTCGTCTTAAACCGCTCGACCGGTTCAAGACGAACCAAACCGCTGTTTGGTAATTTGCTTATGCATAGCATGTCACCTGCATTTATGCTGCATGCCCCCTCCTCCGTCTCCCAATGCCCATGCAGCACCAGGCGGTGCAGTGCAGTGCAGTGCAGTGCAGTGCAGTGCAGTGCAGTGCAGTGCAAGCCAGTCGATGAGCATTTAACCAGTAGAGTATTGATCGACTCATTCTGGCTTGCGTCGATCAAGTAGAAAGAACCGAGTCGAGCTTGTTCTCGTCTCGTTTTCCCATGCCTAGTGCAGGTCTGTTGACCAGACCACATGTGCTACCACTCACTCTCCCTTTACAGGTGACTCTCACTCCACCCGCCCCGTCAATCCCATCTTATCCGTTCGCTCCTGGCCAAATCCTCACCTCACCTCACCTCACCTCACCTCACCTCACCTCACCTCACCTCACCTCACCTCACCTCGCGACACCTCACCTCACCTCGCCTCACCTCATCGCTCCCCCCGTGTGCGTGTGAAACCAGGGCGACACCTGTGACTCCATCAACGCGCTCTTCGCCACGCAGATAGAACCGTGCAACCCCATTCTCCCAATACCCTCGCTCTCACTTCCACTACTCCCTGTATCTGACATGTGTGCCTGCAGGGCGACACCTGTGACTCCATCAACGCGCTCTCCGCCATGCAGATAGAGCCGAGCAACCCGATTCTCCCGATAACCTCGCTCTCACTTCCACTTCTCCCTGTATCTGACACGTGTGCCTGCAGGGCGACACCTGTGACTCCATCAACGCGCTCTTCGCCACGCAGATAGAGCCGCTCAACCCCGCGCTCAGCTGCTCCGATGGGCCACGGCACGGGCAGGTGAGATCCGCTGGTTGAAGGGAGTTCAGAGGCGCCTCAAAAGGCGACTCTTGAGGCGCCTCTCAAGGCGCTCAGCTGCTCCGATGGGCCACGGCACGGGCAGGTGAAATCAGCAGGTTGAAGGAACTTTAGAAAGTCACAAGTGCAGCATGGGGTTGTGGTCACAAGTGCAACATGTACACCAATGTACACCAATGTACACCACCAATGTACACCAATGTACACCAATGTACACCACCAATGTACACCAATGTACACCAATGTACACCACCAATGTACACCAATGTACACCACCAATGTACACCAATGTACACCAATGTACACCACCAATGTACACCAATGTACACCACCAATGTACACCAATGTACACCACCAATGTACACCAATGTACACCAATGTACACCACCAATGTACACCAATGTAGACCAATCTACCCCAATGTTCACTAATGTACACCACCAATGTACACCACCAATGTACACCAATGTACACCACCAATGTACAGCAATGTACACCACCAATGTACACCAATGTACCCCAATACACCACCCCTGTTGGGACCACTACCATCACTTTCCTCTCCCCCCTTTCCTCCTCTTCCCACAGTTACTCTGCGTGGCGTTTGACCAAGGGTGGTACGATGCTGGAAACACTAACGTAAAGTGCAACCACTACGCACACATCACTCCAGCCCCACCCTCCAGCAGCCTGCAGCAGACAGCCCCATACACAGTCGAGAGCGCACTCATAAGCGAGCTTGAGAGCCCGCAGACCTGCCAGGGGCTGTGGCAGGCCTTCAGCCTCGCCTCTCCCGCACGCTTCTTCCAGCTGAACCCCGGCCTTCCGTGCGACTCGCTGCTGCCCGACAGCCCGCTTCAAGGGAACTTTGTGACTGAGGTGGGTGGGAAGAGTGGACCAGGGTGTGTGGGAGTGACTTGTGAGTTGGTGTAACGAGGTGACATTTGAGTCGACTCAAGTCACCCCTCCCACGCGCTTCTTTCCAGCTGAACCCCGCCTTTCCGTGCGACTCCCTGCTGCCCGACAGCCCGCTTCAAGGGAACTTTGTGACTGAGGTGAGTGGGAAGAGTGGACCAGGGTGTGTGGGAGTGACTTGTGAGTTGGTGTAACGAGGTGACTTTTGAGTCGACTCAAGTCACCCCTCCCACGCACTTCTTTCCAGCTGAATCCCGCCTTTCCGTGCGACTCCCTGCTGCCTGCCAGCCCCCTGCAGGGCAACGCTGTGACTCAGGTGGGTGGGAAAGCTGTTACCAGGTGTATGGGGCCAGGTGTATGGGAGTGAACCTAGGCTTCCTCTAAATTTCCTTTCTGCAGTGCAGTCTGAAGAGTGTGGGTATGATGGTAAAGTAAGTTCTGGCAGTGCGCAGCGGTGCGTGAGTGGATGTACGAGTGAAAGGGATTGAATATGAGCATCACGGAAACCTCGCAGCCAGAATGGTGCGAGTGTGGGGGATATTGGGGCTTCGCTTTCGACGATGCAAGGGGCCAGGGTAAGTGGTAGAGCTGGGGAGTGGAGGGGTGTGAGTGCGATGATCCAGGTCAAATCTCTATTCTCCTGTGACAAGGTCAAGAAGGCTGTTGCTGGCAGTAGCGTGAAGTTGTGAGATGCCAGGAGTGGTCGAAAGTTAGCTTCATATTTGATGTTTCCTTTCTAGATTGTCTCACGCAAACCCTGTTTTCACGGGAACACAATTGGCAGGTCTGTGTGGCTGGCTTTGACACTCGTCCTCTCTCGGGCGTGCCCTGTTCAACCAAGAGAATGTACAGTGTGAAGCGCGGCGATACGTGCGGCATGCTGGTCGCTAAGAAATACAGCCGCAGCATTGAAATGTTTAGGAACCTTAATAACGGTTATGATTGTGCAGTGAGTAGGTTTTGGAGCGGCATGTTGCTTTGTTTGCCTTGACTACTTGACTTGTTTTGTACAAAGCCATTGCACTTTGCACACTGAATCCTACAGCAATCGCGCCGATAAAAGACGCACTGAAAAGAATGTCCCATCCATGGGTCTTTTACAGCATGTTACAAAACTGTTGAAGACAGCCTTTTGAATGAATTAAATAAATCAAAAGGGTGCACGCGAAGCATCGCCCTTTGAACAGTGCGGTAGTGGCATTCGCGGTGACGGCGCATATTGTGGCGCCCTCATTCGTCCCACGAGCCCGGTGTCCCCAGTTGTAGTACCCCATTCTCTGTCGGCGGAGAAAATCGATTTTTTTCTGCCATAACGAGAATTTCGTTGAAGTCCGTGACGCCGCGGAGCATGATTTCTTGCGCGATTTCAGATTTTAAGCCTCTGGCGTAGCGATCGATGTGCTCTCCCATGTGCATGTAGCCAATATGCGTCAGAGACCCACTTGTGTAGTCCTGGACAGAACCAAATTGGCGGGAAGTGCGCAGGCCTCTTTCGTGCAGAGATTGACGTCGCGATTGGCTCGAATCTCCCACACAGACCCGCGCACCACGCACGCCAGGTGCGATACTGGGCGACCTCTACGAAATACGATAGTGCCTAGGATCCGGATGGTCCCTCCCCCTACAGAAGCCGCAAGTAATCGCTCGGCTCCGTGACGATGACGTGCCACCAATCCATGGTGGGACTTCGCAGCAACGACACGGCGTATCGAAACTTCGTCGCATCCAACGAGCCATAATTAGTGTCAAAAAACATGTTCATGGTGAAAATACACTCCTGAACCGTCGGACCACCCCAATGACTCAGGTCAAAGCATGGCGGACGCTGCGGCTTGAGTGGCATCGGCGAGAGAAGAGCCGACT